GGTGTAGAACATTAGGACTCAGAGGCTTGCTGGGAACCACAGGTGTAGAACTGTGTAGAACTGAGCGCTGGGGCTCAGAGGCACAGGTGGGAAACTAAGGTCAGCTTAGCGCTTTAGCAGCCACCAGAACACAGCTTCAGCGGACTACCCACCTGCCCCCTCTTAAAGCAGTGCTACATCTTATCTCCTGACAGGGAAGAGTGAGTCCAAATGCCACCACAGCCAGCCCAAGGAGCCCCATACAAGCAACAAAACCTGCCTGAGTTCCCAGCCTCAGAGGGTTGTCGGGAGCCAGAAGGCATGTCAGCTTAGGGCTCCTCACACAGAACATGGCCCAGAGATCACTGGTTCACGGGGCTGTGACCTAAAGCTGGTCACAGCCACACCCTGACTGTTTCTTCACCAAGACTAGACAGTCTACAGTTTTGGAGACCTTGTCTCCAGAAAATAACCAGACCCACAGATCCAACTAACAAGCAGGTTGGGTGATGAGCAAAATACTTCTTCCTTCCACCTGCCCGGGACACCCACCCAACAGCCTCCCACAACGCCCTTCCGATAAGGATCAAGTCTTGAAATGAAGTCACAAGTTCCCAAACGCCCTACTGCTCAATTGAAGGTTGGCAGGAAGACAGCAAAGGAAGGCCTCCGCACAGAAGCTTTGTGAAACTGAACTTGGTGGCACGGGCCTCTAGGTCTTCACTGCTTGGGAGGTTAAGGCAGACAGATGACTTACTGACCCAGTGGAAGCCACTGTTATTTTATAACCAAAGTATTTTTATTCTGGGGCTGAAAGCATTAAGAAACAATAGTGCAAGCAATTCTTCATGCCAACAGAAAATACCTCTCTCTGCAGACAAACACCTCAGCATGTAGACCATAACACCCTCTAAAAGAAAGACTGTAGGATGCCTAGGCACATTCCCTAGATAGTTCTATTATCAATTCAAAGTTCTCCCCTCCCACAGACCAAAGGCTGTGTTACATCCTATAGACACATTAAGCTATCAACTGTCCTTTCCATACATCCAGGTCTTAATGCAACACTCATGACTGTTGTTAAGCAGAATACCCCTCCAACCCATTCCCCCCTGCTTTACATTCCCTTTCAAAACCTAGCTGGTTAAAAGGACTTTGGAATAAGCTTTGGGTATAGCTCACAAATGTTGCCCCTGGGGAGAATGGGGCTTGCCACACAAACATGGGGACCTGAGTTTGAGTCCCGAAATACATGTAAGATTTTGGATCATAAGGCCAAGAGAAGAAATAAATAAAACAACCTTATATTGCAAAGATCTTTGTCATTTACAAGTCGCCCATGCATCTCTGATCTCATCTGAGGTGTGTAGCAGTCCAATGAGACAAGCCTTGCAATGGAGACACACACTATGTGCTACTCCTTGCTATGGTCTGAATGTCTACCATGCCCCCCAAAATAGATATATTGGGACATGTGGCCTTTAGGAAATTAGGCCACAAGGGCAGAGCCCTCATAAGTTGAGTTTATTGTCAGTATAAAGAGGCCAGAACAAGCCAAGCACAGTGGCACATGCCCTGTATACCTGGGAGGCCAAAAGCAAAAAGACTTTAGCCCAGCAGCTAAAAGAACATTCCGGGGCTGGAGAGATGGCTCAGAGGTTAAGAGCATTGACTGCTCTTCCAAAGGTCCTGAGTTCAAGTCCCAGCAACCACATGGTGGCTCACAGCCATTCTCTATGAGATCTGGTGCCCTCTTCTGATGTGCAGATATACATGGAAGCAGAATGTTGTATGCATAATAAATAAATAAAATCTTTAAAAAAAAAAAAAAACATTCGGGGCAACTCAGCAAGATTTTCTCAAAACACATACACAAAATACAAGAATAAAAATAAGCCAGAGAAAGATCCTTTGCTCCTCCCACTATGGAAGGTCACACAATAACAAGAAGCTGCCTGTGAACTGGAAAGTAAACCTTGAGACACTGAGTTTGCCAAATTTCCAAATCTGGGGTTTTCCAGCTTCTAGAAGTGTGAGGAGGAAATGTGTTCTGGAGACATTCTGTTGCACCAGCCTTCGAAGCCTCAGCCTACAGCCTTCACTAACACAGCGAACATCATTTTGCCTGTTTTATGAGTAAGAAAGGAGACCCAGAGGCTAGACAGCTGGTTGCTGGCATGGCAACTTACCTCCTGGGTTTGTAAAGTGAGCTGGGAAGGAAGCAAACCCAGCGCAGAGCTTCCCACCACCAGAATCAGCACTCCAGCTGCTGTTTAAAACTTCCCAATGTTGTATCTCCCTGGTGGCTTAGCCAGGCTTCCAGGAAGGGAGCCTGAAGCCCCCCGTTCTTCCTAGGCACCCACTTCCATTCTCTAGACCTGGGCATCACTTACACCACAATAAAGGCAGACTTTTATTTCTCACCCCCAAACAAAGGTCCAGCTCTCTGACTAAAGACCCCGTCCATTTCAAGTACAAAGCCTCATTTAATTGCTCCGCTGCACCCACCCCCGGCTATCTGCTGCCCAGCTCTCAACTGGGCAGACTCTGAAACCATACAGGAGATTAAGTCAAGAGGGAGAACAGGAGGGACATTCTCTCCTTGAACTTTCCTAAATGGGGGAGGGGGTGGAAAGAAAAGGTCCATTTTTCCAAGGAGGGGGCCGAAGCAATGATCTTTCCATTAAGCAGACGCGCATAAGAATGTATAGATTATTTAATGCTGGGGGTGGCTGCAGAGCGAAATAAAGGAATCTTTGTACAATGCCCAGCAGTTCCCTCACTCTTCCCCCAGCCAGGCATTTCACCCGACTCTTTAAATCATCTAGCTCTAATGTACCCCATCTGTGCACTGGCTGCAGCCAATGAAATCAAAGCTTGTGCTGACGTTGGCCTGGACTTGTGAGCCTTCCTGTCCCAGAAGGGGCGGGTAGGAAGGGGGACACAAGCCAGAAGTTTTTGTTTTTGTTTTTTGCCTCATCTTCTCCCAAGGCTCCATCTTTCCCTTCAGTTGATTGTTTACTGAGTTTTTGCTGTGGGTCAAATTCTGATCTGGGGACTAGTCAGACAGAACACAACAGAAAGACATGGAAGGGTTCATGAGAGGCAGTCAAGGGGAGCTGCCCTCAGCAGAGGCTTGAAAGACCCCCACCTCCACATCCATGGAAGACTGCTTGTGTTCCTGGCTAACTAAAACAAAGCAAGGAAGTGATGGACCAAAGGAAGGCCTGTACACCTGACTAAATACAGCAGCTGTAACCTATAAGCCATTACCATCTCTACAACATCCATCCATCTTTTCAAGCCCAGCTGCAATAAAGACCAAGAAATCCTTTCTCAGCACCTGCAGACAAAAGCAGCTTTCCCACTGGTATAATATATGACTGTCCACTCACCTTAAGGGTGAGGTGAGTGGAATAGCATTTTTTAATGCCAGGTATAGCAGTACACAGAAGACACTAAGGCGTACTGGAGCCTTAACTTTTTTTTTTTCTTTTCGAGACAGGGTTTCTCTGTGTACCTTTGGAGCCTATCCTGGCACTCGCTCTGGAGACCAGAGCCTTAACTTCTTACACCACAAAAACACTTCTTCCTTGTGTTAAAGTGGTGCCTTAGATGCCTCCTTAGATAGAAACACTTTTGGAAATGTCTACAGAAAAAGGCTGTAGAAGGGAGCCAGCGCCAACTCAAATACAAGTTTTTGGCTTACACTCCATGCCAGGAGACTGGCTGGTTCTTGAATGGACATGGCCTCCCAAATCCAAATTTCCAGTCAAGGGTTTACCCCCAAAACTCAAAAGAAATCCACAACAAGATGATATAGTAGATAGCTAAAGGCTGGCTTAAGTGTAAGTAACAAAGTTCAGAAATGCAGACAAGAAAGGAACGGCTCAAGATTTAGTCAGGGCCCTGGAGGACCAAGGTATTGCCTGAGCTTGTAGGTTATACTAAGCAGCCTGGAGTAGACCCACAACAGACTCTGTTCTAGAGCCTCATCTCAGAATCTATGACCGAGGACTTGGTTATATGGGTGGCCTTCATGTGCCAGTCAAGCCAGCCAGCTGAAGAGGAATATTCTGTAACCGCTGACTGGAGCTGTTACCCATCTCGGGCTGAGACTACCAAACCCAAGAAAGAAAGAAAAGCAAGAGTGCCTTTGCCAGTTCTTATAAATAGTTTGGGATCGCTAATTTTTTTTTTTCCTTAGTCTGGGTCTGCGTAAGTATCTGTTAGGCCCTTAATTGTGTGGAGGCTAGCTTCTCAGGAAAGATGCTATTAAGGGGGAAATTCTCCCACGGATCTTTTTCTCTTTGTCATCTAGCCTAGTAAAACCTGTTTCTCCTCCCCTGGGAATCCAGGGCCCGGAGGGAGATAGCTCCCCTGAGAATGCTGCCCACAGTATTCAGTTCCTGTATTACACAATCGAGAACCTGGGTTTACTCATTAGTAACCCCCAGCCCCAGCTTCACAAGCAGCTGTCAAGACCCCTCTGGGAAAAGGGACTGGTTCTTCAGCTATGATCAGATATCACCCTGTATCACTTCATGTATAAAGGTCCCTTACAGGTCAGTGGCTCAGCTTTTCAACAGGCCACTTTTGTTCCTCCCTCCCCAAAGGCCAAGTTTTCATAATGCTACAGCCCTGCAACTGTCCTTGGGGCTTGCCAGGGGCTCTCCCATCTCAGCTAATGAAGCTGCTACAGTGGGGATGAAGTGTGGCTCTGTGGTAGAGTTTTTGCCTAACATGCAGAGGCCTCGATGGACTACAGAACCGTGTGCCGCCAGGCCCCAAAGCCTCCAATAGGGTTGACTTCCAATTTCCAATATAAACTGGAGCACTACTCTGTCCCTGAGTTAAGTCTCAGTTGAGTGGACAGCCTTGGGTCAGCCCTGCCCTTATAAAAGACAGTATGCAAATATATGCCAGACTGTATGAGACAGCATGTAAGCCTGTGACCCCAGGAACAGGAACCGCCCCCTTCCTTACTGGGCGGCAAGAAAGGCCTTCTGTGAAAGCAGTACCTTGGAAATGAGTTCATCGTGATTGGCCAAGTGGGCTCTGCAGTGAATGCAGCTGTAGGTCCGGTGGCACGAGGGCAGGTATGCCTGAAAAGTCTTGGATCTTGTCATCTTCACCATTGGTGCAGCGGAGCGTGGGGCGGCAAACTCTGGCGCAGCCCACGAGGCACTCCCACAGGATGGGTCGCACGGGAAACACCGGAAGACACAGGTAAAGGCCGTGGTTTGGCAGGGGGTGGGTGTGCGGCAGGCTCCACACACTGGTGACTTCTTCAGAGGAAAGACTCTCTAGCAGAGGTCTACAGCCGGGTCTCAGCAGCCTGCAGCAGCAAAGGGAAACACCATCAGCAGATGGAGCAAAGCTTCCTATGAGAGGAGCGCACATGCCCTGAGAGGGAGCAGCAGGCACTGGCCGCAGAGAAGCTCCTCTTCTGTGCTCCTCACTCTGCAACCCCTCCAGTCTTGCTGGCTTTGTTAGGTAGCTGGAGATTCACTATTAACCCACCCAGTAGTTTCAAGAGTTACACAGGTGCCTGGCAAACTGGCATCATCACCATCCCTGGACACAGACCAGGACTGAAGATGGGCTATTTGCAGTCCCCATGGAGACTCTCCTAGGAATCACCTCCAGACTCAGTAGCTGTTTACATCTAACAGTCCTGTTTGTATCTCATCCATTCAGATACCAGGAGCATGCCAATGCTTGAAGCCACCACCTGCAGGGGTGCAAACCACACAACAGCCTCTGGTGAAATAAGTGTGAGGCATTTATTAATGTCCCTGAAAGGTGGTAGCCAGCTTTTCTGGGAGAAGTGATTCCCTTGAAACCCCTTACTCTGACAGGATGCCCAGTATATGTATTTATGAGCATTTTAAAAGGCAAGTAGAAGCCGGGTGTTGGTGGTGCATGCCTTTAATCCCAGCACTCAGGAGGCAGAGGCAGGTGGATCTCTGTGAGTTCAAGGCCAGCCTGGTCTCCAGAGCGAGTGCCAGGATAGGCTCCAAAGCTACACAGAGAAACCCTGTCTCGAAAAACAAAAACAAAAACAAAAAGGCAAGTAAATTAATTAAATGGTATAACATTTGAAAAATCATAATTGAGTATCACAATTTCTTCCCAGTTCTCACATCTCCCATTACTTCCTGTAGAAGGCTCCTAGTCTCTGCCTTCTCATTGTCCTGGGAACCTGGGACACTGAGAATGGGGGAGAGGAATGGGGCTCCCCCTGGAACCACATGAATGAATGAAGTTCTGCTTACCTGCGGCTCCATCACCTGTCTATTCCCCTGGACGTCACCAAGAGGGGAGGCATTCCCATTTGCCTACCTTCCCAGGAGAGCCATGAGTGTTAATTAACACCTGCATCATGCTTTGAAGATTAAATTATTTAGAGAAATGGAGGAGGGAGACAAATAAAATAGGCTCTCCCTTGCTGGACTGTCTGGGATCCATCTGGACTTAGGAGGAAACCGGCAAATCATAAAGTTCTTTTTCCTCTAAATCCACTAATAGAGCCAAGTCTCCCATGCAGGCTGCCCCCACCCCACCTGCCTTTCCCTCCCCCCACCACAGCCATCACATTTGGGCTCTACACCTTTCTGATCAGACACCACCACTGCTGGGCACTACAGTGGAGACAAGAGTGGCCACTACCCTTTATCCAACAGTGTGAACAACCCTCTTTACGGCATCCTTGAGTCACATGAGCTCTTGTGTGATCCGTCAGATTTCTGAAGGGATTCAGATTCAAACCTATAGGGACCAGGGCTCACTCTCCCACAAGTTCAAGATGAGGGACTGGGCTACACGGACAACAAGAATATTGGCAGTAGACAGAGGAGGGAAAGGATATCCTAGACGATGCCTCAGGCTTAGCCACAACAGATACACGGATGCCTGGATCCCAAGCCAGCCTTCAGGGACTAAAGGCTCACAAGGCTAAATTACTATTTCCCCGCCCTTCCACTGGGTTTCCTGACAGATCCTCAATATTTCTAATATTCTTGTTCTGCTGTTAGCAAGGACAGAAATTCCAGAAGAGGCAGAGGAAAGTGGAGGCAGTGCCCAGTCCCAGTCCACACTAAGTGCCTCTTAGCAGGGTGGGAGTATGGGGGTTCTTTTGTTTGGTCTGGGCTATGCTTTTGTTTTTTATTTTCATAGCTTAGGCAGGCCTGGAACCTCTTGCCTCAGTTCCCTAGAAGCATGCATCTCCATGCCGAGCTGTCTAAGCCAAATGTTTAAAGTCCAAAGCCTTGGCTGCTCAGGGACCAGGATGAGCAGCACAAACCCCTGGGTCTTACAGAAACACCAAGGAAAAAGGAAAACATTAGCCCTGGCAGCCTCTCTACTTTACAGAGGCCATAGAGTGTTTTCTTATGCATGCAGGCAGCTTCCCAGTTATGCATTTCCCTGGAGTAGAATTATTCTTTTCTCACTTCTCCTCTGTAGGAAGCCTAAAAAAAGTACACAGGCAGAGGTTCCTGGTTATGCCCTCAATCCAAAAACACAATTCACAGCTCCTTCTACAGAGGAAGCAACTTGCAGCATGTATTAAATGTTAAGTATGTAAGGACAGGTGGTGGCGGCGGCACACACCTTTAATCCCAACACTCCGGAGGCAGGGGCAGATGGATCTTAGTTCAAGGCCAGACTACAGAGTGAGTTTCAGGACTGGCTCCATGGCTACTAGGGAAACACTGTCTCCAAAAGGAAAAAAAAAAAAAATGTTGAGTAGGTCACAAACATAGACCCATGCAATATACCTCACCGGGACTCTGAACCAGCTGCATGGTGCTGGAAAGCCCTGGAAAGACTGGGCCATGGACATTTGCCTTATGTGTGGCAGAATCATTGTTCTCTTGGTGGGGGGTATTTTTGCCCTGGATGTCCTGGAACTCCCTTTGTAGACCTTGATGGCCTCCAACTCACCGAGATCCACCTGCCTCTGCCTCAGGAGTACTGGGATTAAAGGTCTGCACCACCAGACAATGGGGAAATATTTTGAGACAGAGTTTCTCTATGTATCCCTGGCTGGCCTGGGATATGTAAATCAGACTAGCCTTGAACCTTGAACTCATTTAAAAGCCTCTGCCTCCAGAGCACTGGGACTAAAGATGTCCATCTAACTACCTGCCTTGCTAGTCAGTAATTTCCCAAGCATCCTAGAGAAGGGATTTCTTCTGGGGGCAGGGGGCAAGACAGACAGAAAGTATTAGAAATGCTACCACATTCAGCTGGTCCAGGACAAGCAAAAGACCTAGGAGAAAAAGTGGGGCAAGAGGGGATAAGGTGGGGAGACTGGTGGGAGGTTGGGGGGAGGGGGGGGAGAAGGCATTGACATGTGAAGCAAGCTTGTTTCTAATTTGAACTAATAATAAAAATAAAAATAAATAAAAGAGTGGAGCAAGAATGGTAGTGGGTGGAGAGATGGCTCAGGGGTTAAGAGCTTGCACTGCTCTGGCAGAGTTAGTTCCCAGCTCCCACACAGCATGTCTGGCTCACAGCTGCCTGTAACTGTGACCTCAGTGCTGCACCCGCACCCACATGCATGAGCACACACAAGCACACACACACTCTCTCTTAAAAAAAATCCTTGAATAAAGAACTGTGAAGCACTGGCAAGAGGCATTCTGTATCTAATAAGAAAGAACACAAACTAAATAGGAAAACAGATGAACACACCAGGTTCTTTATCAACACACACACACACACACACACACACACACACACACACACACACACACACACACACACACACACACACACACACACACAGAGAGAGAGAGAGAGATAGTGGTACAGGCTGTGGTACAGCTAGACTAATGGCTGTCTACCAACAGAAAGTCTAAGAATCCAGTAGTCATTCAGAGGCTTGCATATGCCTGAATCCTGAAGGAGTCTCTAGCGCCATGGACATGCCAGTGAGAACAAGCAGGCAAACAGCAAAGCTTCCTTTTTCCATGTTCTTACATAGGCTTCCTGCAGAAGGTATGCCCCAGATTAGAGGTGAATCCCCTTACCATATTAAAGTAGGTATTCCTATTTCGAATGAATTAAGAAAAAAATCCCTCTCTGGGTGGTGGTGGTGCATGCCTTTGACCCTAGCACTGGGGGGGGGGGGGGGGGGGGGGAGGGGGGGGGGGGGGGGGGGGGGGGGAGAGAGAGAGAGAGAGAGAGAGAGAGAGAGAGAGAGAGAGAGAGAGTGTGTGTGTGTGTGTGTGTGTGTGTGTGTGTGTGTAAATATAACTGTGAGTGCAAGGCCAGCACGGGTCTGGCCTACAGAGGAAAGGGAGTTCTAGGATACCCAAGACTACAGAGAAATCCTGTGTGGGAAAATCAAAAAAGTAAAAGAAAAAAATCCCACACAGATGTACCTAGTCACTTGTGTTTTAGTTAATTCCAAATGTAGTCCAATTGACAACCAAGAAGTCATCTCACCATTTAGAGATGTTTAAATTGCTTGATTTAATTCTCAATAAGGAAAATGCATTGATTTTCCTAAAGAGAAATGAATTAGGTATGCAGGGCCACAGTACTTGGCACATTTTAATTTCTGAACTTTGGTCCCTGCCAATCATGCCACAGTGTGCAGGGAATATAAGAGTCCAACGAGTTGAGCATTTGTGAAGTCCAATTGATTTCCAACAATAATCAAAAGCCTCAGGGCTTATGTACAATTTAAACAGCCTTTCTAAGTGAACTAATAATCCACAGTGGAAATTAAAGGAAAACTTTCTACCACCAGCAGCTGCTTCATGGTGATCAGCATGGAAAGGAAAATGTGAAATATTATGATTAAAACAAAGATCTCAGATATACCATCTCCAGAGCCAAAGGCACAGGGAACACACGCTGAGCTTGGCAGGGGCCTTCCTGACTGACAGGCCATTGTCACTGGAAGTCACAGTGGCCACTGAAATTCAAGACTGTACCTCTTCAGGAATCACTGGGAGGGCAGAGTGGCATGTACTCTTCCTTTAGTTAAAAACCATAAGGAACCTGAGAGGTAACCTGGAAGCCAGGCAGCATCCTACGACAGCATCAGAAGCAGGCCTGTGGTAGAAAGACAGGCTGATCCTAACATGTGCCTATGTTGTTTAATAGCAGTGGGCTCCAGAATCTCGCAAATGAGTTTTATTCCTTCCCAGCTGGGTGACATCTGGCAAGTTCCTCAACACAGTGACCCTCCCCTCTCCAACTAACATGTGATAACTAAGCATCAAATGAGATGACCCAGTGCTCCTTCAGTTTTAGTGGTCACTGAAAACAGTATGATGCCACTTTGGACGGGACAACTTGAACCATTATATATGTGTG